AAAGAAAGAAAAACAGAAACAGATCTTTTGGATCAACAGGTATCCTCAAAAGATTATCTTCAATTTAAAATGAAAATAGATCTTATATTTATTATCTGTGATGGTAGTTGAGAGGGACAGTAGGAATCTGGCAATTCCCTGAGATTTTCTTTACCCACTTGGGACAGCTTCCTTGATTATTAATTAATAAAAGAAGCGAAGAGAATCCATGTGGTTAAATTGTATTTCATTTTATTTCTTCTTATCTGATGATGGGAAATCAAATGCCCAAAAGCATCCAGGGAGATAAAAAGCAGAAAGGGAAGAGTTTGAATAAAACAGAAAATTTGAAACTTACCTGAAGTATCAAATCAAACATATTTAATTTGTTTTTTCTTTTTTGGAAAAACTTCACATAGGGAGGCAGTGTAACTTAGGGATTAAAGGTGCACACTCAGTCACTGAGTAGCTGACCTTGAGCAAACTTTTTGACCTCACTGAACCCCAGTTTCCTTGCCTGCAACATGGGGATAAAAATGTTACTTGCATTTTAGGATTTTTGCAACGGTCAGTGTAAATACATAACAAATGCTTAGCCAGTATGCCTACAGGCTGAGTGTAATGTAACTCTCCTTGTGATGTGTGACTCTCAGAAGAAATCTTCAGGCTACTCTGAGGCTGTAGAATTCCTGCATAATTTTTGAATCCCTGTAAACTACAGTTAGGTCCCTCAGTGGGGCAGAAACAGATGTGAACCTTTTCGGGTTAAATGAAAACCTGCCATTTCCTTAGCCTAGAACATCGCTCATTGCTGGTGTGCTTTTGTTGTTGCCTACTTTAGGCAAATCATTTCATGTAATAATTATCAGACTTTCCCTAAGACTTGGATTCCTGGGATAAATCTAACTTGGGTAGCAGAATTCCATTTAAAATAGCCCCTGAGAAATGTATAAGATCCAGATAAACTGTTGTCTAAAGTCATTTGCTTTCTTTATTTTTTAAATGAAGTATCATTGATTTTCAATATTGTGTTCGTTTCAGGTACACAGGAAATTGATTCAGATATATATATATATATATATATATTCCTTTTCTGATTATTCTCCCTTTCCATTATAGGTTTACAAGCTATTGACTATAGTTCGTGGTGTTGTACAGTTAATCCTTGTTGTTTATTTTATATACAGAAGTGTGTATCTGTTAATCCCATAATCCTAATTTATCTCTCCTCCCAGTCTTTCCCCTTTGGTAACCATAAGTTTGTTTTCTGTGTCTGTGAGTCTATTTCTCTTTTGTAAATATTTGTATAATTTTTTAGATTCCACATATAAGTGATATAGAACATTCGTCTTTCTCTGAGTGACTTCACTTAATATAATGTGGCATATATACACAATGGAATACTACTCGGTCATAAAAAAGATTTTAAAATATTGCCACTTGTAGCATCATGGATTGACATTTTGATTTTCATAATAAGTGAAGTAAGTCAGAGAGAGAAAGACAAATATCACATAACATCACTTGTATGTGGAATCTAAAAGAAAACAAGACAGCTGAACTTATTTACAAAACAGAAACAGACTCAGAATGGAAAAAGCCTCTTGGTTTTAAAAGTATCTCCCAGGGCAGTTCAATCAGTCACAGGCCAGACTTTTCAAAGCAGCAGCTCCGTTGAGGGAAGAGCTCTGATTGAAATCTCTCAGTGGCCAGAGAGGAACTTGAAAGGCTTTTCCAGAAGCTGGACACACCATCCCAGAGGAGACTGGGTGTTTCCCTTCTCACAGCAGGCTGGGCAAAAGGGAAGACAGCAAAACCATGCAGCACTTTGGGCTTTAAGTCCGAATTCACATCCTCACACCTTCCCTCAGCCTTCAACCCGTTCTCTTCTTTCTCCTGAGTGTCAGGGGAACTCCTGGCCTCTACGTGTTGATTGATTTGAGTGGAAGATGGTCAACACTGCTTTGGGTGGCACCAGAGTAGGTTAAGTGCTGTCACTCAGACTAAACAGCAAAAGAAATATTGTCTTCTAGCTTTAAATGTATTTTATTCCCCTCCTGGCAGCCAACGGAAGGGGTCAGATCTTTTTTGTGGTTCACTGGCTATTACTTCCACCACTAAGAATTTATCCTTGCTAGTACATTTCCACTCTTTTTGTCTTGTGGATGAGGGAGAGTTTCTTAACATTTTCTTTACCTTCCAGGTAGTTTGTGTTTAGAGTCCCTCCTTTCCTGTTCATAAGACACACACACACCCACCCACATGCACGCACACGCACACACAACTTAATTGACAAGTTTATCTGATGCCTTTAAATCTTGAGTATTATTTTTTGATGGCCACTTCAAAAGTGGAAAGCTATTAAAGGAAGAGAAATGAAGCATCTGAGTATTCAAAGCCAAGATAATTTGGAATGTGTTTCTTAGTACTCATCTTCATCTTTAAGAAATTGACCATTTTCACTGCCCACTTATAATTGCCAATAAAATCCAACTAAAGAAAACATGAACCAAGTACCAGATGAAATAATTTGTCTATTTCAGGTCTACCCCCCAGCTTTGATCTGGAGGAGGGCATCACGTATGCACAGATGCAGGTGAGGTTTCTGCACCACCTCTGAATGATTCTATTTTGTTGCTTTTAATTCAGATCTAACCTGATTTCTTTTTCCATTTTAGACTGTGATTGAAGAAGTCCTAGAGGAAAGTGGGTATTACAATTTGATTTCTAACAGGTGAGATCCAGGGTTTGCTTTCAAATATTAAAGTTCAGTTTAGAACTTAGAATTCACCCCACCAAAGTTAAGTGAAATCTGGCAGCCCATGCTGGGCAGGGGACACATGGACAGAATCCCCAGGATGAATAGTTCCAGCAA